TAGATTTATGGTACCTTCGATAGAGCAAAGCTAGCTCTACAAAAAGACCACCAAAGATCGATCTAAGTCGTAATGCAGGTAATATTTGGAGCCAAAAATCAACATTTTTCAGCTACCCTAAAAATCTGATCTCCTTCCAGAAAATTCCTACAGACTTCCAACTCGGTCATTGTATAATAGACACATAGTAGTACCCAAGGTTGCATTTGGTGAAATTTTTCCGGGGCTTAAAATTAAGAAACAAGTATGGCTCGAAAGGCATATATGAGTACTACTATGTGTCTTATGTATAATGACCATATTGGAGGTCCGTAGGATTTCTTCTCGCAAAAATCCGATTCTCAAATGACAAATTTTTTTTCAAATTTGACTTCAAACTTTACGTGGAATGCGACTTAAGCGGATCCTGTTATTTGAAAAAAAAGTTTACTTCCGGGATAACCTAATACATTGTGCCGTGTATGTTGATGTAATTTAATTTTTCTAGTACTTGTAATGCTAGTCGGTTGTAGGTCCTAGAAGTGAATATAGCGCAATGCTAGTGATAGAAAATGTAGCGATCACATTCTCAAGCTACGATTCGCCAAATACAACTTCTCACTCGCAGCTCTAAGTAGTAAATGAGCTTGGTTTAGGTACATGTCTTAGACGTGCTGACGTCATTAGTGAAGTTTTCGCCTTTTTTCAGAGGATATGAGTTCTTGCCGTCGACACATGTTCTCACCTCTCTATGCAACTCTCATTTAGCCCGCCCACGTAACTCATTCGTCTCGAAATCTTGCTGAACTGAGTTTTGTTATCTATTCGCTAATTGCACTAATATTGAGCATCCGAATCTGCTGCCTCGTGATCGCTTCGAGACTTCTTTAAGGCAGAGTACGAATGAACTCTAGAGGCAACGCGCTAGAATTCTGCCCTCCTCGAAAGTCAAACCATCATTGGCACGTGCTAAATCTTCAAAAACTTCTCGAATACTGCTAATTTGCACAGATTTGCTCCTCGAATTCAAGTATTACAAAATGTCTCAAGCCATTATATTCAATCCTTCATTAATTGGCCTATTCAAGAACATTTCTTTTCAATACCTCGTGAGTTCCTCGACAAATGCATTCCGCTTCACATCACTTCATACGTCGACGGCTACTCTGCTCTGTAGTAAACAACCATATGATGATTTTCGAGTGCGGCTAGTGCTAATTAGTTATTAAGATGCGCCTTTTGCGATGCAAAACGATCCAATCACAGAAATTGGTGTCCTATTACCAACGCTTTCTATTTGGTATTAGTTTCTATATCAGTTCCGCTTGGTTTTCTGTCACAAGCAAGCTTTTGCAATGCTAATTTTGCTTTTTCAAAGCGATGCTTTCACTGAGTATTTGACTTCCACTTGTATGTTTTTATTCTAGTGCATCGCTCGCCTTCAATATATTAGAAATTGGTGTGAAGGTTGAAAATTGTTATTCCGTTCACCAAAACTTATGAATGAATAGGAGTTCCGAGTGATTTTTTGTGGTCATATCTTAAGGAACTCGAGCTTTCTTAAATTGGCAAAGATGGATAGCTAAAAATTGCTTTTATCAGATCTCAGCATCTTCATTCATGCTCATTCGAAAGTCTACCTCGTTCCGACTTTTCACCAACGTCATAACAGCGAAAGTAATGATAAAAAGGCGTAATTTAGACTCGAATACTTAATTATCAGATTCTTAGAAGCAGATGTTGAACTAAGGAGTACAACGAAATACGTCTACTAGAAGACGAGCTTTGTTTATCTTTGTTTCTTGAGAATAACTGCTAGATTGGCTCTGTTTCATAGCCTTCATGTTAGTATAATTTGAATGAAGATACATGTTATTTGGGAAGTGATATACACAGTGAAGTTCTGAAAAGTAGTAGATTTCACAGAAAAGTTACGCAAATCTTCCTAATACGTACGAGAGCTCTTCACTTTAAAGGACATTCCACCTTCTCTAACACTTACTTGCGATATATTCGGCTAGTGCATAAAGAGGACTTGCACTTCAATTTGGAGCAATATTTAGTAGTATCGTTAGACGCAATTACAGGAACCTAAAAACTCAAAATTTTTTACGAAACTTCGGCATCAAGAAAATCATATGGTTATATGTTTTACGCATGGAAGTCGTAAATGTCAGATTGACTCTTCGCCCCTTTACCCAGAAAAAAGGTTGTATTTTGCCGGGATTTAGAATAAGGTTAAGCCTGGATTAGAAAAAGTTATTGACACTTTTCTTTTGAATTCCTCAAAAGCACTGCGAACTTAGAAGAGCAAAGTTCTCAAAGTTGTTCCTCGTCAATAATGTTGCTTCAGACTTTTAAGCAATAACAAAAGCCGCTGTCGTACGATCGACTTAGTTAGAAAACATAAGTCTACATACATTTCAGGTATGAAATATCTTTTGCTACTCTAATTTACGCAATGAAATAATTCTCTTCTCTATCAAGATCATCACACTCTTCAAAGTGGAATGTTTTTGCCAAAATGGCTTTTTTCTTGTACCTACTCTATAAGCGCTAATTTGTTGAAGCAAAGTAGAAAAAGCCTTTTGCTAGGAAACGAAACACATGCTTGCTTGATTAGGGCTGTCCTACCCCAACAATTACGTTGACGCAAAATTCTTGCACCATAATTTTTTTCAATTTTCACCGTAATTTTTTCTATTACTTCATTCAGCTTCATGAAACCTTCTGGCTTGAAACGTAATAGAGCGAGAAAATCTTGCGTTTTTTGGAGGTGCTCGAGTCCTTGAAGACACATGGCAACGATATAATAGGTTGTGCCAAAAGTAATGAGAACATTTTGCTTCCCATTTCAACTTTCCGCAAATCGTGTAGAAGTTAGAAGAATACCTTAAACTGTATCAAACGTAGCTTTTCTTTCTCTTTTCAGCAGTCAGGCCAGGGATCCAAATGAATTCTTAGTTGTAGAAAAAGTTTCCCGAATTTTGAGCCCGTCATTTTTGCTTTGGGTGAGTTTAGCTAATCCTCAGAAATTTCAGTTTGAGGTTTTCAAACAAATTTAATTGCAAAAAACAAAACAGGTCCCGCTCAATGCAAAGCATTTATTAGGTCATTCGAAACTAGCATTCTGGGTTTTTTGAAATCATTTTTCCAAAAGCCACAAATTTTCAAAAAATCGCTCAAAACAAAAACTCATCAAACCCTACAAAATCTATCGAATTTGGGAGCTTTGAAAATAATACATTATCAAACTTGATAGCAAAGCAATCAAACTTTACCGCTTCACATTCCATAATCTAGAATTTCTTGACACTTCTGAAAAAACCATAGAATTCGAACAGCAAACGCTTTGGGTTCAAAGTTCTGCAATTATTTCAGCAATTACTGAGTGATTTGATTGGTAATTTTAGGTGTTGGAAAGAGGAAGAAAAGCCGTGCAAGAAACATTCAAAGCACTTGCCTGTCTACTTTCTACCTAATTTGAGAATAGGTCTAAGAAGAGCTGCGAAGCTCTCATTACTTTTGACCTACTCTAGTAAATTGATTAAGAGAAATACCCAAAAAGTGATGCTTCGAATTTTAGTCACTAAATTTGCTTGAAGTCCCCTAAAATTTGAATTTCTTTTTGATGCTAGTTTTATGACATCCTCTTTTCAACAAAGAGAAGCTGGTAGTGATTGAATGTCTCTGCCAATAATTACGATTTTCGATGCTTTTAAATTGACTTATTGATTTTGTTTCATATTAATCTTCCATAATGTACTATAAAATACTACTTTTGATATACATAACAATAAGTATGCTTCGTAAATCGATTAATCTGTTTAAGCATTTTTAAAACATTTTTTCTAATTTTTTGGTGCAAGAATTGTGCATGCATCAACCTAATAGCTTGCTTGCATTAATTATCATAGAGACAGACTAAATTTGAGAGAAGAATTTCTGGCAAGCACGTACATATCGTTCTTGCATTTTACTTTTTCTGAATTGAGATTTTCCTGAGATTTTCTGCTCTGACGATGCCAATCTTGATTTCATTGTTAATTGGCACAATTCTCGTACTAGGGCAAGGTTTACCCTAACCTTGCCCTCCAATTTGCATATTTTATTCGCTGACTAAAGGCTATGATAGTAGAGAGGAGCAGGCTGTGAAGCTTGGCCTTGAAAACTAGAAGTGAGTAAGAGTTATATTTGCTGTATATTAGCTTGCATATCTTTTATTTCAAAACCTGATGTGCTTTTATGGAGAGCCCAGAAACTTTAATGCATTCTTTGCTGACAAGTATGGATCAAGTACATGCAATTAGAACTCAGTGTTTAATCTGAAGATATTCTTCTGCGAAAATGCATATAACACAAATTTCATGTGTGCAAATAGCTAATCACTTCCTTATTCATTCGACATCAACGCGATGAGCAAAATTACCAAAGCGCAAATCCTTTCGAGTCCAAGAAAATAATAGATAATATGTCAGGAGTAAGTTCTACTCTCGCAAATAGATAGTGTTGTTTCATCGTATACATATGTCAGCATCTTCAACTTCTTCATCCTTGAAATTATTTCGAAGCGGTCGCCCAATCCAAATCTTTATATATCCGTGGCTTTGAGTCACTTATACTCAACAGAAAGATCAAATTTGAATTTACGACAAATTTCACTCCAAACTTTCATCGAAGCTTTGCTGTGTATTTTGGCATACAGCGTACTCACAAACTCGTTCTCGTTCCCTCATTCTCAAATTTGGAGCTATGTGTAATGAAACTTGAGCTGACATAAAGGTGATTCCTTTTTCTCCCTATGAATTTTAGGACACCATTTACCTTGCATTTCTCAATTGAATGCATAGTTGAATAAATAAGGCTAGCATGTGAAGTGCATCAGATTTACCTTTGTACCTTCTACCTTTGATGTATAATACTTGTAAAAATGCCCGTCATTTCTTTATTTTTTTATACGTGACATCCGACATGTCTTGCCTTCATTAGTGAAATATCAGCAGGATTTGTTTGTTCCAGTAATGTGCCTGCTACGTCACGTGCTGATCTGCTCTGCAGTTTTCAACTTGTTAACTTTTTTAACGGGTAAGTCTTCGTATTTATTTTATTTTACTAATCCTTATAATATGTTTCAAGGGTTATTTCTTGGTATTCTGCGTGAAGACTTACTCATAGTCTCATTAGTGCTGACAGTAGCTGGCCTTCTAGGAATGTTATTATTTGCTATCACTTGGTTTATTCGACCAAAGGTATGCGAATTCCAATTCTAACCTATTATTTTTTCCTTTCAGACAAACTCATTATTAATTACAGGTTATTCACCGTCCGATATACTTTGTGAAACACTGGAAAGAAGAAAAACTTGGCAAAGATGCCACAATCAATCCAGACACAACGGAAGCGGTGATGAAGAATATTAGAGGAATTCCATTTCTTATTCAAGTAAGCCTGAAGCGCTTTCCTAATCCATAAATGTACTTTTCTCAGCTTGTTGTTCAGTTCGTTACTACTTGTAAATTCTAATTAATGATGTCAACAAATTAAGGGGCTGCACCGAAGCTTCAATTTATGAATCCATTGCTTAGTAACGTTTTTAAGTGTTTACAATCTTCCGTGTTACAGAAAAGTTTTTGCGTTTTCATTAGAAGTATTTGATCCCATTTCACTGACATTTTTTCAAGAAACTCGAGAGTGTTAAGGTGCGCTGCTTCTCATTTGAGTATGAAAAAAAATGTGTGGGTCTTGAAAGGAAAAAAAATAGTTTTTTGTAGGAAGATTCAGATTCAAGATGTGTCTCATGCGTTAATGTGATTTACTCAAGATGGTTAATTGCTTTTTTGATTTCAAATGCGTTCTGCATTCCTTGGCCGAGTCCAAAACTGCAGTCAGCGCTGAACCGGAGCTGTGCTAGCGCTGTGCCGGACGCATAATGGTCAATGCGGCTATGTGCGCGGCGTCGCGGCACGGCGTTGGCACAGCTCTGGCACAGGGACGATATAACGGCGTCAATACGAGTCATTCTGTACTAAAATCAAACGAACAAGAAACTATTTTCGAAAATTCTGACTTGATGGCTTGCAATTAAGGCAATCCAGTATTCTATGGAGGCAACCTATTACCGTGATGTTCTCAGCGAAATGGGCGAAGGAGTCGTACGCACCTCAGTTATTCACACAGCTCCGGCTTGTACGAGTATTCTTGACTCAGAAAGTGAGGACGAGACTAAGGAAGTAAAGGTCACACCTAGGTGAGCATCTATAACACTTCTCTATTGTCCTAGCAAGACTTTAGAACACATTAACAGCGAATGGTCATCTTCCTTTACTTAAGGAATGATTCGCTGTTAAGGAATTCAGCCGAGGAACAGTGGCTACCATTTGGCGAATCGTGGCGCAACGAACAGCTCCGCTTGTCGCTCGAACGAGGAAGTAGTAATTTACTTGTGAGTATTTAGTCTTGAAGTGTGGAATGATTTTCGTCATTTCTGAACGTATTCATATTATTTGTCATGTAAGGGCGTCCCAAGACCTCTCTTCGCAAAAACTCATGTGAGTTGTCAAACTTATGTGACTCGACTGTTGACGCCGTACATTTTGACATGTCATTATTGAGCCACCCATCTGAATTTTTTTTATTTTTGCGGATTCTAAGAAATTCCTAATTGTTCGTTCTAGATCCGAGGAGAGTAAGCTAAGTCTATGTATGCCTGGGAATATTGGGTGGCTCAATCGAGAATGAAAATTATTTAAAAACACCTTGAAAGGTTTTTTGTTATGCATGGTTTTCTACCGTTCCCAGTTAGGATATAGTGACTGAACGTTTCTTATTTCTGCGTGTATCCGGAATCTATGAGAATACAAAAGTCAAATAAATCTACAAAATTATAGGTGTTTCCGTATTGTGAAGCATCTCCTCATGGCGATCGTGGTCACGAAGCTGTTGAACACGACTTTTCTCGCATTGAAAGCATCAAGCGGCCGCATGGGTGAGTTTCACTTTTTGCTTTGAAAGTAATGTATATCATTCAAATTTTATTTCAGAAGAAGAGGAAAAAATCAAAATCGACAGCAGTTCCAAGTACGGTGCATCGGCATGTCTGCGTCGTTTATAGAACGTTTTAATAATTCATTTCGAGCAACATCCTTCGACAACTGATTGCTCTTTGTGGCTATGCATATGACAGTTCATAGGCTTGATCTCTGTGCTATGTGTTCTCAAAGTAATATCATCTAATGATCTCCGTGCTGCAGTTTGTCTACTTTGTTAATTCAACTTTACGGGCTTTTCTTCATGGTGTTTGTTTGCCAATTAAGCTTCTACGCATCCATGTTTTGCGTCATATTTCGGGAAGAGCATCGTTACACTATAGAGCCTCGGAGTAATCCATGATTTTTTTCAAAATCTAGAATATTTGCGGTTAACCTGAACACATTGCGAGATACAGTCATTACGGATTACGCTGAGAGCACTGTAGTCGTGCTATGTTTAAAGTCGATTTGGATTCACAGCGCATTCTGATGCTCTTGATAAATTGTACATTCGACAACATATCAATCTCTTTATCAAATGATCATGGTTCAAGCATTAGCAGAAACAACAAGCAAATTTGGTAATACAGCGGTGAGCGCACATTTCGTTGAAGGAGCACGAGTTTGTGGTGCAAAGCTGCATTGATGAGAGAAACGATTCAATCTTATGGACAGGTTCAATCTAATGGAAATACACTTACTAACTGGGAAGCAACGCCCCTATAAAGGTTTTTGTCGAATAACCTGAGTTTCAAATGAGTTCTTGGGGCATGGTGACGAGCTTTCGATGAGGCAAACCCTACTATTATCTCAGTCTTGAGTGGAGGCAAAGAGTTTACCAAAACTAGGCTTTGAAAATGGAATTTCATCCAAACGCACAACTCCACCCCCTATAAACGCCTGCCCTCCTGCATGCTCAGTTCGTCCTAGGACAAAGGCATGCGCTCTTACAAACAGTATGAAATTTGGGATTCAGGACGAATAGACAGTTGAAAGATGGCAAGCCCTTCCCCATCGAACCTGCTATCGGCCTCATATTCAGGTGTTAAAGGCACCTCCACCCTAAGCTAGGAATCTTGAGCTTTTGGCAGCTTATAATAGAAGGACCCCCTATCAAGCCAGTGGCCAAGCCAATGTCGCTTCGGAATAGCAAAGATGCATGAGGATCCCGAGTCGGCACCACCCCTCTCGAGTACTCCCCGCCCATCAGTGCGCCATCATCGTTCCGGAAAGCCTTCCTGCGGGTTCTTCGAACGGAAACTGTCGGGATTTTCGCGGGTTCTCGACTTCACATTCAGAATTAGGGACATGAGAAGGCCCCGAAACGATCAAAACATGGAAGTAGAGTATCTGGGTGGATGGTATCTTTAAACATTTAACCTTATTTTTCACACTCATGAATCCCTAAAAAAACGTTTTTGAGCATAGGAATTTTACAGGTCACAGAAAAATAATAAACAATGCCTTTGGCAACATTAGGCACACATTCTCTCCTACTTGCTGGTAAGTGACGACGAGAACTCAACGAGAACTCATTGCCCAAATAACGGATCCTATCATATGTCCTTTTCTTCCTGCAGAAATGGACATGGTATTAAATGAAACTACACATCGAGCAGAATGTAAAGGTCGTCCCCAAGACATTTGAAGAAGGCTAGGTTTGGGTTGTAGTAAAATTATAGAAATGGATCAGGATTTGAGGTAACGCAGCCAGATCTGCGCATCCCAGAAGATGAGCACTATATCACACTTTGGAATATGTCAGGATTTCCGGAACACAGACAAATTTTTCCAGGTATTATCGTAACAAAACGTAAATTTACAAAATCACTAGGGTATGAGCTGACTACTCATGCACGGATGTTTACAAAATATCTCTCTTTCTCCGACAGTCGTAAGGATTTGATGGTATCTTTGTTGTGACTCGTGCATAACATGATGACACAAGCGATAACACTCGGGATTTCAAGAGTTTATTTCCCCTCTGATTCAGAGCACATCAAATCCATAATTTCCATCTTCTTTTTCTCATTGGTTTTAGTCAAATTCTTTGATTGCGCTAGCCAAATCTACGATAATATGCCAAGGTATATACTTGTTAACACATTCAGATGAAATACGTAGGTATTCTTATTTGGGCCGCAACTGCTTGCTCTGGGCATTCCATAGAAAATGAAGTTGTGGGAGAGCCCACAGTAAGTTTTACTTCTCCTCATCTAATAGATAAAAAATCTTCTGACAAAGGTTGACTGCGAAGAATCTCTTGTGGGTTTGACTTTCAAGACGAAAAAACCCTTCTCCGGCCGAGTTTACGTGCATGGAATGGCAGGAGATGAAAAATGCAGCAAAGCATTTTTGAAAAATAGGAATCAGAGCAGGTAAATTTTGCACATATCTTTGAATGTCTGATAGTTTTTTTTGCTTTCAAGACTATCCATGCGTTTCAAGAACGGCGACTGCACAATGCAAAGGCAGAGGGTTACTGGTAAAGTTCAGGTAGATTTTACTACTTTTTATAAAGAACTATAGTAATTTAACTTACCTTGTACCTCATTGACTTTGCCTGCCTTATTTCTTCTGATGTGATATTCGTATTCTTCAGGGACTTATATCTTCACTGGTCGTAGTAGTATCCTTCCATGGCACTTTTGTTACGAAAGCTGATCGTGCATATAGATGTATTTGTTTTTTCAGAAATCAGAAAACTTTAGCGAACTCTATTGGTATGTTTGACTTCATTATCAAGCTGTAACTTTCTGAAATCGACGATTTTTTTCTAGAGATGTCTCCCATTGGAACTACAGAACTTCTTAACACATATTCGACACCAACTTGTACATATTCAATCCATAGCCAAGCACCTGATGGCCCGGTCGTAATGTAGATAGCGCATACAAATGTTTAAAATTTTCAAAATATCTATTTCTTAAGGACGGGAACAGTCGGAGAGAAAATTTACCATGTATGGCAGTGTGAATCAACATCTGGATTTCTTGTGCATAGTTGTTCCGTCAGCGACGGTCGAGGCGAACGAGTGGACCTTGCAAGTTGATTTACCTCTTCAAAAATTTTCCGAGAAAAATCAATTTCTTTCTAGATCGATGTTGACGGTTGTGCCATCGACCCGACCATTCAACCAGATGTGCTCTATGAGGACGGCAAGGTGAATCATTCAAAGTCGCTTTAGAAGGGATCCACAGTAGCCCGCGTGCCGAGGCCGTGCCAGCGCCGTGCCAGCGCATCCATATGGAGGCGCCCTTGTTGTTCACTCAACGGCGCTGGCACATGCAACTTCGAACACAGCCTTACTGTTCTTCATAGCAAAATGTTTTAGGCAATCGTAGAGGTGTTTGGGTACAAGTTTAGCGACGCAACTGTGCTGAACTATGAATGTATTCTGGAGATCTGTCGTTCACCTTTTGAGTGCGAAGGTCTCAGTCCTCCAGCATGTAGCATGGATCAAACTAACACCGCTTCCGATATTGAAAGAGTCAGACGGTCACGAGCGATAGGTGAAGCAAAGCTGTTGAGTTTACCTCCTATAAACAATTGAGAATATGCCAATGTTTTAGTGCAAGAACTGGGACATAAAAGAGGGCAAATCGAGGTAGCGGCCACTCTCACTATGGAAGACAGTGTAAATGCAAGCACTGTCACATCAGGCAATGCTTTATCATACCTGGAAGACCCACAGGTAGCTAATGATGTATATGAGATAGTGAAAATCTTGCGTAAATTTCTGCTCTGATTTCGTAGTGTTTGGCCATTGTCGAGAATAATGCTTTGCCAAGTGTTGCCCATGTGTTGGCGCCCTGCCCAAACCCACGTGGGCGTGATCGATAAAAAGCTCAACAGAAGATCTAGCACGGCGCTGACACGAAACCCGCACGGGCAACTTTAGACAAAACCTAACTTCACAAAAGAGCTTTTTTGTTGCTTGCCTGTTTAGGTTCCAAAATAAACGTGGAAACAAAAACTTACTTAGAGCACGAATTTCTGACCTAAATTAGTTTGATGTCACCCAGTTCGCCTTTTGCATTTTTTGGGTTTGTTTGCGTCTTGCTATATGTCTGACTTTTCAGAAGAAAGCGTGTCAGATAGTTCATGTCGCTTCTCAATTTTAATCAGCGAATTCATAATTTCCTTTTTAGACAAACTCGTCCTCTGTCGCTGTGTCTGGAACAATCTGCTTATCGGCAGAATCATTTACAATAACTGCTGCTTTAATAGCTTTTATATTCGTATCAACCACATATGTCGTATTTTACCTGGCACGCTATAAAACCTATATTGTCACTCCGAAACTGTAAATTCTGTAATAAATAAAAATGATATTGTGTTTTGACTTTTATTTTTGATGAAATTTGAGACGAGTCTATATATAATGTTGCTAGAGCTTCACATTTCACAGAATAACAGTAGAAAAGAGTGAGGCATTCCTTGCAGCTCTTCATCTACGGTGATAGTTAGATTCGAAAGCCAACTTTTTTTGATCCACCATCGTAACTTCATAATTCAGACCACTTGTTTCAGTTGAAAATTTCAATTCCTAGTTTTAACAAAGCGAGTATGTATGTCTATAGCGAGTGATGCCATATTTGTGATGAATAATGAAGGGTTCATTTTCTGTCAAATAATCGAGATTAGTGAAGCATGGTTCCAAAGAAACAACTTGCAAATTAAGAACAACGTTTGATTTCTTGTATGCTAGTTGATCATTTTCAAGATAATAAAGGTAACTCTCCGAGTGTTGTAAGTGGAAGTGCTTATAGCCAACGGTTTAAGAGTCTCATTATAAATTATGTGACTTTGCGAAGTAGACAAGAATCGAGGAGATTTCATTTCTTGAGTTGCGGCACAAAAATTTTGACATCATTAGTAAAGGTGTGACCAAGTGCCTTTCGTAATTAAATTCGCATGGAATGTCTTTAGGAAAATTCATTGCTGTTGAGAAGACGACAAAAGAGAGAAATCAAATATCACATTCATAATTAAAACGAAATTCTCTTGAAAACATTTGAACACCGCATTTTCTGGCTAGGAATGAAGGTCATAAAACTTATATCACTTCAGCACTTTGACAGTACAATTTAAGGAAAGCAGAAACGACTGTTCTGTCAGGCTGGATCTCCGCATGTCAACAGTGGTTTCGCTTGCTAACAGTGTACTTTCCTTATCTCTGCTTGGTTAAGATAAGAACAAAAAATAATTTAAAGAGATGGCCTATCACAAACCTCTAAGTAAGGACTACAGTCCTGCAACGCAAGTAAATATGTGATAGAGCTGTACTATGCCTTAGTCCTATCAATCTGCTGTTAATTTTTTTCAATGAAAAGGGAGCTATCGAGTCCCGTTGCCTTTTATTTGTAATTGTAATAGCTTTTCAGTTTGCATCAATAAACTAACTCCATTCGAAAAAAATTTTAGTTTGTAGATGTTGTTTTTTTGGAGAAATTGAGGAGATTTGAATTTGAAATTGAGGAGCTTCCGAAAAACTTCTAGAGGGGGTAGGGGACCGATTACCCTACGAAGATCCCTGAGAAAATCCTTTTTCCCATTCCCTCTACTAAGCCGACGAAATTCTTTGCAACATAATACTGATCATTATTCTGAAAGCTGCTACTGAGCTCTTCGAGAGAAGAAAATCGGTGGCTCTTCTTTCACTCCTCGTAAATCTTAGTCATTGTCCCAGCGGGTATCTTATAGCGCTTAATTTTTTAAGTCATTTATGTAACGAATATAATTGAATCCATAATGCTGTTAGCACAATGCTGTTAGCACATCGAAAAGGTATAACGAGAATAAAAATTCTAGATGTCGACTAGGGAAACAATCTGTACAAATATATCGACTTTGTAATGAAAGCACTTTAGTGGAATAAATGGCGAAGTAAAAACATTTTGATTGGTGGTTTACTGCTTAAAGTTTCCTTAGTTTTCCTAGTTCGTGTTGTGTTGAATACACGGTCCTCGAATGTGAGTATAGCCTCCCGAGCTCCAGGCCATGAATGGGGTCCCTTAGAATTTGATATTTAGCGCTACTTATTTGGGACAACTATCAGCTTTTCTATACGGCATGTATATACCTGTAACCTGTACTGGTAAGGAACAAGACCATGGAATAATAAAGCCTTTGCTAGCATTGGGTCGGTTATGAAGCGATAAGAGACTGTAGGTTTACAGCCAAGAAGTTTTGCTAGCTCATCCATTATTTCGACATAGTAAACCTAAAATATTCTATTTGACACTTTTTGGTATCATTAGATATTTTATTCTATAGGTAAAAAGCAAACCTGGATTGTGTGTCTTCTGCTAGGAATGAATTCCTTTGCCATAATCTCGTGCTTACGTTTGATGTCTTTCTCCATCTTCTCTTTGGAAGGTAGTTTTATTTTACCCTGAAAAAGTTAACGGACTGATGGATCTAAGGCAATTTTCAAAAAAAATTTTCCCACAGTTAAAGCTGCGATAAACACTCGTGTTTGCATTTCTGATATTGGCATGATAGAACCAGTTGGTTGTACGAGCCCAATGACAGCAAGAGTGTTCTGAATTAGACGATATTAAGGATAAAATTTGTTAAATCCATAATTTACCAAACCTTTGGAGATAACTGAGCCGGGTACATGTACTTGTATAGATCAACATGATTATCTTTCACTGGTATTAGTTGTCCTCCCTCAACTAGAGGGAATCCGAATGAGAAACCAGTGGCGAAAATTACCTATAATTTAAGTGAGTTAAGAACTTGCGCAAATTCGCCTTCTACCAAAAGATAGACACTTACCGTGTCAATTTTTGGCACTTCTGTACCATCCTCGAAAATTACTCCCTCTTTGGTAAATGAACCAATATTAGGTTTGATCTAAGAAATTTCTGCTGTGTTTCAAAATTCAGAAGAGTTTTTTTTTATCTTACCACAACAGTGCCAGAAATTATACGGTTGGGTAATTCATCGTTAATTGTAACGTGAGCAGCAAGAACACGATGTTTTGGCGTTAAGCCAAATCGTCCGTGATCGAATCTTCAAGGAAATGAACGAATTACTGGTTAATGTGTGACCGCTCCGGGTAAAAACAAACCTCCTGTTCAGCTTTGTTTCCAAAATATGGTTCTGTAAGCTCCATGGAGTCACATGTTTGAGGAAGAAGAAAAATCTGAAAATGTTTTATTCACTAAGATTTTTATCGTGTTTTCTTTCACTTTCATTTCGTTCGTTTTGGGGCTCTACAAAATCTTGGGAGATAGAACATGCCTAGATGGCGAGGGCTGTTAAAAGCCTCCAGCATTCTGCCCACTTTTATACAAGATATTGAAGTATTTTCCGACTGAGAAAGATTAGCACAATTCTTGAGATTAGCACCGAGAAAGTACCAAAAGATACCCTCATTACCCATAAACACCACGAAAAGGCTCCTTAAATCTTTATGAGATCGTTTTCAGCCAACCTGCTCAAATAGGCCAAGTCTGCTGGTTCTCCACCGTCCCAGACTCGATTCATTACCCATGATCCAGATCGGGTGGCCAAATACACCTAAACAGCAATTAAAAAGCGCTGAAGTAGCGTACAAGTGTGCGAATAAGAGGCACAAAATGATCATTGAAATTATTGAAAGGGGCCTTACTTTCTTGCAAATTTTGCTAAGTTCAACGGCGATATCTGCTCCACTATTGCCGATACCAATCACAACCACAGTTTGGTCCTCATAGCCCTTAAAATGCTTAGCAATATAAAAAAAACAAGAATAGTCGTATCTCATGTACCCTATGGTCCTTATAATCATGGCTGTGGACCAATTTTCCAGTGAATGCTTCCTGCCCTGGGAATGGATTTGGCCAGTAAGGATCCGTATGATGTCCAGTACAAACCATTACACCATCAAATGTTTCTACGGCACCATTATTTGTCCTAAAACCATCGTCTCTCTTTCCCCTTCGACAAAGGACATTCTCATGTAGGTGTGTAAGTGATTCGATTTTTTTTTCGACGCCTAAATACAATGACTCACTTGAGGTCAAGCCATTCCACATCCCATTGTCCAGTCTCCGAAAAACGTGCATTCCTTTTGATAGATTTTACTTTATGCGAGAAACGAATGTACTTCTCCAGATCAAATCTGCAAAAGGGAAGAGAAAGGGATATCCTAAGCCGATCTACATTTAAATCTGCTTACTGTCTTGCGTAAGACCTGAAGTATTCCACCAATTCTGTATTATGCATGTAGTTTGCTGCATCTTTTGGAGGTGGAAAATCGCTAAATTTTTTTTTGCAAATTTTCGGAAAGAAAAACGTGCAGTAGTGTACCTGTATGCAGTCATTTCTTTCGATGTGTTAATAACTGTTGTTTTCATGACAGTTCCTTCTCCTAAATTGTGGTGAGGTCAGTACAAAGAACCTACACTGATCAAGTTACATCGCATAGTTTTGCGATAGTTGGCGTTGATAGAGCCAAGTTCAGGGCTTTTTGAGATAATTATTAGAGAAAAAACTTGTTGTTTTTTCAGTCAAAAAGCAGAGCCGCAACTTATTACTTAAACCAATCGGTGGTTTCGTTTTCTATTGAAGTTAAATTGCTGTAGTTAAAATTAAGAATCATGTAGTCACATGTGTCCAACTTCAAGGCGAGGAAGAGATGCCAAATAAGAATGCAGCTTCATTCTCCGTTGATACTAAAACGAAACCGAAAAAAGCGTGGCCTATTCAAAATTTTCTCACTCTGTCATTGTAATTTGCTGAGAAAAACGAAAAAAGTTTAATGTTCATTAGGTTGAGGCACAAGCCTAACTGATTTCCTTGCAGAAACTATATGGCAGAAATCGAAAGAGACGAACGGTAGGATCTACCTACGTATAGGCTTGCAGATGTGAATATATTTCTCTTCTAGGCCTACACTTACATCCACTTTTGGTATTTTACTTTCAGAATGGTTTGCTTGACTAAAAATTTGATGGTAGCAAGAAATGTGCGAGTAAATTTGGGAGTGCTTTTTTTTCTTCATACAGAAAGTCTTTATGGTTTGTAACCAAAAAATAAACTGAATCTAGGCAAAGTGGTGCATGTGAAATTTTCAGAGAAAGAGTGCAGTGAGAGTGAAAACAAAAGGTGTTCGAAAATACCAATCAAGTAGATCTTTACCATTCCAGCACGGATTCGTTGGCATACCTGGGCAATCATTCGGCTTATACCTCCAAAGCCCTCCAATGTCATTAGACATTTCAAAGCAAACCACCTAAAAAGTGGAATTTTGCGATAAATCCAACAAAAATCATAGGGATTACCTCACAACCATCTTCAATAGCGGCTTTGATAGCCGGAAGACCACTGGCGCCAGCGCCAATTACTGCCACTCGCATACTGTAAGGAGGATGATGTAAATTGTGAGAGAAGTCCACAGAGTGAATACCAAATAAATCACAATGGGGAAGATTTCGAGACGCAATTAATAAGACACTAAGAGAGTGGACACAGTGGTGAACTTTCGTTGACGGGTACTTCCGTACTCGCCCAACGGCTTTGTTCTTGTGCGGCTATTCCGGTAGTCTGGGCGGAGACATGGACAAGGCGCACGTGTGAATGACGCACGGAACGTGCTCTCTAGCAGGTCCTTACAAGTAATTTTGAGGAAGAAAAACCGGATAAGAAAAAAGACCTTTTAGAACACAATCTAGTTAAGAATGACATAGTACAATTGTTGCACTAATAGGGTTATTGTTCTTAGAGGGTAGAACTTAGCGACTGGCATCTCTGGCATGGGCGTTCGATGATGTAAAATATGAAAAAAAATTGCGCCTGGCATTTTTTGATTTAGAATTTGAAGGTAAATGGTAAATACTCTGATTAGGTAGAGCTCATCAATGCAGTGTTTCAAGTTTTATCGAAGCTTTACCTACCTTTACCGAAGCAGTAACGTAGCAGACCTTAAATAGATGTCCAGGTAAACTGGTACACTTAAATCACTGAGAATAACTCCCTTCTCTGTATTCTCATTACCACAGCAGGTAGTGTTATACTAGCCACACTAATTCGAATCAGTGTAAGAACGCATGCGGAGATTTCTGTGCCCTCAGCGAATGCGGAAGAGAAACGACATGGCAGCTGTGAAAGTATTAGTTAGCTTAGCTACATTACTGTAGCGCAATGCTGGAATCCTATCCAAATAAAGTGATTTAGGTCAAAGGATGAACGAATAAACCATACGTCAGCACATTTGTCGAATACGTGCTGAAGGCCGCGCTTGGGTAAGGAGACCGGCAATAAGATTGAAAGGACATCGTTGCGGATCGTCTAAAAATTGCCAGTAGGTTCAAGATATTGGTAATTTCGTTGATTCTCTCTTTGCCAAAGAATCGATACAAAATGCACTTCCGCAATCGTATATCTGTTCTAGCGCGGTAAGTGGATTGTCAATCATGGACCGGTAGGATAAGCTACGCGTCGAGCAAAGTTCGTCCCCGGGCACGGCGCAAAAATCAAGCCAATTACGGAGAACTCCTTTCGTACTGTAATGTTCCTCTACCTCTTTCCTCATCGTTGTCAGTCTAGAGAATGATTATCTCGTAAGATGAAAGTAAGTGAACCGAACAGTGGCAGGGACAGGATGAGGACATCTTTATCACTTAAGGCAGTAGAAAACCAGTCAGCCGATGTCAGACGATAGTATAGGCGGTGTAACCAAGAGTGAAACGAACGCATGCCCTGTCTGGCCCGGCACGGTGACAGTGGCGGTGAACTTCCTTCCACAAAGTATTTCACATAAAATTCTTTTCGACACGTTCACAAGCTAAGATATATTACTGTGTAATGTTGATTCAACACACATCGTTTATGGAGCAGAAAAGGGTGATAACTATGTTTTTGTACGATGTGAAATTATCTAGTGTGTGGTATTTAGGCACATAAAGGAAGAGCTTCAAAGGAAAACCTAGATGGAGCTATCCAATCTCAACAGAAAATGGACTTTCTACAAGAATTATGTGTGACACAACCGGCGCAAAGGTCACCACGAATGTCTTGCAGTATTTTGTCAAGTTGGAAAATCCTTCAGCGTTCTATGGATCTTGATTGTCCTTGGGACTACAGATCACATGATAGAGCAGTAACTTCTTGAGTGTTCAAGAACATCTTCGGTCGATGGACAATCGACATGGATGTACGTGAGAAGTTGCAAGTAAATACAAATTTGCAAGAGAAGAAATTAGGAAGAAGTGTGATGGAATGTGGAAGAAGTAGATAATCATAGGAGTCCTAAGAACTTCAGTTCGGCGGAATAAGATTGAGAAGATACAAAAATTGAGCTCAATGCCACAGTTTGCTGTTCGAGAACAAGACCCGATCAAAGAGCGAGGAAGCGCTGGAAGTGAAAGTAATGTACTATATCTGAAAAAGAGAGAGAAACCGTTGGAAAAGGGCGCGAAAACGAGTTCACACTTGATTCTGGTCGTGCCCTTGTACACCTAAGCCCCATTCAGAAACGACTAATCGCGTGAGGTGCCGAAATCCGAATCACGCAGCAGCCAAGGTGTGTGGCCATAGAAGCGGCACGAAAGATCGAGTTTACGCGTTAAGAGAGGCATGGAAATGGATTATATTCTCTAATTTGGCGATTTTTCTAATTACAAAGATTTTTCGTGCTATAAGCATGCGGACACGTGTTAGTGTACAGCTGGAACTGTACAAAGTTCATGAACGCAAACTTACAAGGTCATGGTGCAGAATAGTTGCAGCGAGGAGCGAACTGAATTTCTGCAAAGACGACGCGGTTCTACGCGAGCTTTATAGCAATGATAGCGACGGATGGCTAGAGGCAGTTAAACGATCCAGTCTCGAACGTCCTTATAGGACGGGAACATTATTCCACTGGGCAATTCTATCTAAAATGGTCATAAATGTCAATCTTGCGAGATTAGTTAGAACCGTTCAAAGTCTTCCACTTCTCTTCTCTCTCTCTATCACACTTTCCACTTTTTCTGGTCTCTTCCACGTTTAGAAAGAAAAAACACAAGGGATATTTCAGCTTGTGTGCGTAGCTTCGCTTGAAGTCGTGATCGGATAAATATCTTCCCGCATAGGTGCAATTAAAGAACGCACACAATTTTTGATAAAAATAGAGACTTGATGAGGTTTATCTCAAGATTTTCCTACCTAAACGAGAGTTTTCCACCCTCCAGGACAAGAAACCTTGACAGGAGGTCCCAACAATAGAGAACTTTAGCTGAAGAAGCAGTACTCCAGTCAACCAGCAGAATGTTTAAAAAAAACCTTGAAAATTACCAAAAATTGTTACAAATATATGCATTTCTTCCGTAGTTAATGTCAACACAATAAATAATTTCTTGGAAATATCTAGAAAATTTTGACTCGCACAGTCGCTGCACACATTTTCCGTTCGTCCGCCAATGCTTAGCGAACAGGATGACGGAGGCAACCTATGAGAAACAGAGAGAGTTCCCTCATCGTACCATGCTAAAGAATTATTACAAATTAGCTGATCTCAAATTCTCAAATTCAAAAGGTTTTAAAACTTGCAAACAATCAGAATAATTTTCTCTAAACTTTTTGATCCTGTTAACTTGACAGAAATTTCTTTAAAAAGGCGTAGCGGGCAATTAACTCAGTGTTGAATTAGAGTTGCTGCACATTATCTTGAAAACTGACGTTGTGAGACTGCAATTTTTTGACAATGAGCAAACGTCCCCTCCCCCGTCTCACTCTAGCTCTCATTAATGGTGTAGGAAGAACGTAATTCACCTCTAGTCTATTGCACCAACGTTCAAGCTTTTTATTGGGTTCCTGCTGCTGCTTTTCGCTCCTTTGCACACAGAAGTTCTTCTGTCAAGTCTGGTAACGCACGTTCATTGCAGGTTTCATACTCGAAATCGCACGAATGCATTGTTTTGAGAAGTTTTGAAGCTAGAACAAAAACCTTCCGAAGGAATTAACGTTTGCTCGTAAAACTGCGAAGTTCTCCAAACACGGGCACTTGAGCAGTTTTTGACATTAACACGTTCGTGGTAACATAATTGTAGTTTCTTTACGGAGCAGATAGAACTCGTTTTATCCACGTTACTGTATATATGTGCAACATATGCACGTCACCTCAAAACAGAAGTGCGTTTTTGTATACGGTTCCGCATTTACCAAAGTTTCTTTGTTTGTACGCTATCCAAGAACAAATTAGGAGTGTGAATAAAAGTTGTAGTTGATTACAGGGAATCTGGTTTCTACCACTCAGAACGTCATGTAAGTTGAATTAATTCACTTGTTGAACTGACTGATGATGTATGAACTATAGACCAAAGACAGCATCGAAAGAGATGGACTATTTCTATTAGGTTAGTGCAAAAGTAGTGCGCGTTTTTCTAGCTTTTGTTTTGAAACAACTTTTCTCCATCAAACTTCCTTCTTTGAGAAAAACTTAGCATACCACCAACAAGCTCCTTTTATCCTCTATACAATGGTCGTCAAAACGGGCTTCTAGCTTCATTAGTTAAAAAGTAGTAAAGCTTCACACAACCGCTCTCGAATTCAGAATTTCATTGCATTTATTTTTCTGGCCAGAAATCAAGCGCGAATAAACGCAAACTTTTGAAACTCCAGCTACTGTATTGGAAATTGTCTACATTACACAAATTTCATTATTTTCTCAGAGATTCCCTAGATTGGGATTCCGGCGCCTCAACATGGGCACTCGTTTTAATCATTCTGCCACAAATTTTCCTTGAAAAGGGCAATCGCCAAAGCTTTGCTCATTTCTGTAAGCGTAAGGGTGGGCCTTCTAATAGTTTTTACAAAATTGTATAGCTGTTCTTTACGCAGAAAACCAAAAGAACTCCATATTTTGAGATTTTTAGGCCTGCGAAAAAATTTCCAAAAAAGCGGACATTTTTGATTTTAATATTTTCCTTTTCGCAAATCCTTTTTGTTTGAGCTCCTTTTAATTTTTTTGTACTCCTCGCTTCCGGCTACAGTATAGTATGCTTATTACCTATATTAACAGTTTTGGAGAAAGTTATGATTAGTCAAAAACGGAGTTTCAGAGAGAAACTTTTTCTGCTTATCAATCCATATTTTTCTGCCCGTTGGAGATATGAGCATAATGGGATGTGCGCTGTATTGCGAAAGGTTTGGTGCCTCTGATTTTTTTACCGCATTGAAAAAGGTAGATTTTATAGAGAGTTATAACACGTCAAATTGAGAACTCGCAAAACGCGCATAACTTTTGCAACAACCTAATAAATCAGCTCAGAGCTTGACAAATGCCGGTTATATACATACTTGACGAATCATAAGGCTGTAGAACTGACATACATACATCAATTTTGCGTTTGCAAAGTTGCTGAAGGATGTAAAATAAGCACTTTGGTACAGATGCCATCCGGTAATTGAAC